TGTAGATGTGCATAGACAAACTAAATAATAAGCTAAGGTTATAAGGTCAACAATTGTAAAGCAATAAATATGTCAAAATAGCAGATAAATGTGTAAAGGTATCTTTTCTCATTGTGAGAAGTGAACTGATACTCTCCATTCTCTTCTCTCAGGCGTGAAGATCACTTAACAGCATATTTTTCTTTTTTGAGGTGGATGCTGCAAAACATCCCACTATTCCTTGCATTACATTCAGTATTCTAATATACTATTCTGAAAAAGAAATACACTAACATGCAGAGGATATATTGTCCTTCTTGTTGTTGAGAATACACATGTGAGGACTGAATGAGTTAGCATATGTAATGAGATAAGAAACCAATCTCCCTGTTGAGTCCTGGGGAGGTTTTTGTTCCAAGTGTTGTAATAACTTGTAACTCAGCAATTTCCCTTTCCATTATGTTCCTGCAGTACCTTTGTAATAAAACAGCTACTTTGAGGTTACCCATTGAATGTCCTGGAAGATCTTAGTGTTCTCCTACAGGTTTCTCAACCTTGTGATTCCTGATGTCAGATTCGTGTCCATTTATCCTCTGGCACAGGGTTTGTCCTGTTTGTCCTATGTAGAGGACCGAAGAGCATTGTTGACACTGAATGGCATATACAGTGTTAGAAGTTGAGGAAATGAATGAACCTCTGATGGTGCAGTTGATGTTATTAGGTCCAATGATTGTGTTGTATGGGTGTATGTGGCAGCAAAGTTGGCATCTGGGATTATTGCAAGCTCTTGTCCCAGTGTCCATGTTCAAATTAGATGTTGCATTATTGTGGGTGAGGAGTTGTTTGAGACAGAGGAGCTGTCTGTGTGCAAGAAAAGGTTTGCCCCCCAGTACTTGTGAAAGAGAACTGTCATTATCCAGTAGAGGTTGTAAGTCGTTGATGATGCGTTGAACTGTTTTAGCTGAGAGCTGTATTTGACCACTAGTGGTGTTCTATTATTGTCTCTTGGGGGCCTGTCTTGTAACAGGTTTTCTCTGGGTATCATTCTGACTTTGTTAATCTGTTTCTGGACTTCATCAGGTGGATACTTAAGTTCCAAAAAGGTATGTTGTAGGTCCCTCAGGTGAAAATGTCTGTCTGTAGGATTGGAGCAAATGTGGCTGTAGTGTAAAGCCTAGCTGTACACAATGAATCGTTTGGTATGTTTAGGATGGTAGCTGGAGGCATGTAGGTATGTTTGTCAGTCAGTAGATTTCTGGTATAAGGTGGTGTCTATGCGTGCATTGTGTACTTTTATAGTAGTGTCCAGAAAATGTATTTCTTGAATGGATCGGTTCATTGTCAGGTTGATGGTGGGGTGGAAATCGTTGAATGCCTGGTGGAATGTGTCCAGGGCATCTTTACCATGTGTCCAGACAATAAAAATGTCATCAACGTAATGTAAGTATAAGAGAGGTATGAGTGGGTGGGAGTTTAGGAAGCATTGTTCCATGTCAGCCATAAAGATGTTAGCATACTGTGGGGCCATGTGGGTGCCCCTGGCTGTACCATTGATCTGGAGGACCAGGTTGTCACCAAATCTGAAGTGGTTATGAGTGGGAACAAAATGGCAAAGTTTGGTGGCAAAATCAGCTGTGCTGTTGTCAGAAAGCATATTCCTTATGGCTTGTAATCCATCTTTGTGTGGGATGTTGGTATACAGAGATTCCGCATCCATGGTCGCTAAAATAGTATTCTCTGTTCAAAGATTGTATTTTCCTCAGAAAGTCTGTGGTGTCACAAACATAACTAGGAGCACTGATGGCATACGGTCTTAGAACAGAGTCCATGTATCCAGATGCCCCCATGGTGATAGTGCCTATGCCTGAGACAATGGGGTGTCCTGGGTTGTCTGGTTTGTGTATTTTGGGTAGAAGATATAAGGTACCTGATCGAGGTTCTGGTGGTGTGTCTAAAGGATTAGTTTCCGAATGTGCAGTGGTAATTCCTTTATAATCTTGTATAGTTCTTTTTTGAACTCCTGCAGTAGCTTTAAAGGGAATGATAAGAAAATAGTTACAGCAGCACTGGAGGACGTGTGGAGAGCTATTTTTAACTGTTGGAAAGTGACTGGTCACTCCTCCGTGACCTTCTCTACCACAATTTACAGCTCTCCTCTCTGTCAAGATTTAGACCATAAGATCCTCAGGGTAGAAGGAACTTACCTCTTTATTATTTTTATCTCTATTCCATGAAACTCAAGGCAGTCTCCCACACAAGTACTGATCAGACTCAGACAGGCTTAGCTTGCATCATTCTTCAAGCCATTTTGCTAGTATCATGTACAAACTGGGTGGAGGGTTAGGTAATAGCCTTCAGCATTTTTACACTTTGAGGGTGATATTTTCTGGTGGTGTTGTTGTTGTTGTTGTTAGCCATTCAGTAATGTCCGACTCTTGGCGATTCTATGGGTCTGCTCTCTCCACGTTTTCCGATCTTGTACTGTTTCTTTGAGTCATTCTATGCTCAAGCTGGTATTGACTTTTATGGTGTTTAGCCACCATGTTCTTTGGTGGCCTGGTTTCCTTTTGCCACTAACCAATCCAAACATAATTGCTTTTTCTAGTGAGTTCTTCCGCATGACATGGCTGAAATAAGCCAGTTACAGTTTTATGATTTTTCCTTCCAATGACATTCACTCCAATACTTGCTGGTTTGTCACCTTTGTTGTCCAAGGAATGCGCAGGAACCTTCTCCAGCACAACTCAAATGAGTTTTCCTCCTGTCTTGCTTTTTCAGGGTCCAACTTTCGCAGCCATAGGTTGCTATGGGGAACACAATAGCACAGACTAATCTGCATTTGGTTGCTAGGCCTTGCTCTTCCATATCTTGCTCTTCCATATCTGATTCATACTAATCATTGCTGTGCAACCCAGCATGATTTGACATTTTATTTCTGGACTGCGTTTGCCATTTTGGTTGAACTGTGATCCTAAGAACGTGAATTCTTCCACACATTCAATCTCTTCATTCTCAGTTGTTATTTTGATGTTTCTCTTCTTCTCGGTGGTCACAGACTTGGTCTTTTTGATGTTTAGGAAGAAGCCAAATTCTCACTTTCCTCTTTGATTTTCTTGATCAGGTATTCCAGGACTATTTTAGTTTCCGAGAGGAGGGTTGTGTCATCAGCATATTGAAGATTATTGATATTCCTTTCTCCAATCTTTACCCCAATTTTTTACTCTTCCAGCTCTAACTTCCTCATATTTGTTTTGGCATACAGGTTGAATAGGAAAGGTGAAAGAATACAACCTTGTTGGAAGCTGGCTTGGACATCTGGTAATTCCCTTTCAATGGCTGATGCCAAGTGTTGTATAATATTAAGGGGAGCCCTTTGTAAAGCAGGCACTCACCCTGCAGCCCTGCTGCCCACTCATGCCATCATCCCTGATAGGGAACAGCTATAGTGGAGAGAAAAACAAGACACAGTTATTGACTGGATCACACCGAGAGTCATTAAAATTAGTTTTTATTGATGACCTGTTAAAACAGACGAAGGAACTGCTTCTAATAAGAAAGAAATCACCAATCTAGGAGAAAATCTGTTGTATTTTATAGAACTCAAAATATTTTCGAAGACGATGGAAACAAATATATTAACATCGTGTGTAAAACTACCTGTGCTGGTTTACATAAGGTGACAAGGATCAATTAAATGAAGATCTGTTTTGTGTCAGTGAGAAAACTTTGTGATTAAGAGTTTGGGATGAATCAGTTCATACATACCATCTTCATATTTCATAAGAATACAGGTCCGATCTGCATTACATGTTAAATTGGCTTTAGATCACTGTGACATGACTCCACCAAAGAATTGTACAAATTGTAGTGGCTGAACTTTGTACAGTAGCTAAGCCTTACCTTCTGTCATGGGTGAAGCAACCTTTAGGGAGTTTTTCCACAGTGATACAGCCGCTGGACAGAGCCAGACTGACTTTGGGGGTAATAGTACTTAGTTATGCAACAGGCCCAGGAGCAATTAGTACTTAGTTATGCAACAGGCCCAGGAGTGACTCTGCTGGTTATACAGGTGATGTCCACATTCACAGCAGCCTTGGAAATGCTATCAACCGTACAGAACCATTAGCTAGTCCTTGGGTTCAGTGGCCATGGCCTGAGGAATGATTAATATTACTAATCATTCTCAGGACTGGACTGTCATTAGCCACACACACACAAATCTTTGGCTTTGTTAGGATGGATTAATATACAAGGTAGCTAATGTGAATTACATACTCTCCTACCAACACATTTCATCAGCCTTACAATTATCCAGACATAGGACTGTCCAGAAGTTTTAACTGCAATTTCACTAGAAGCTAAACGCTATTTATCAAAATGTACTTTCCTTGTCATCTGGAACCATAAGTCATTGCATTAAAATATCTTTCCACTGCAAAATTTCAAGCTAGATAAATGTTAGGTACAAGGCCTGTGGCTCAACAGAAAGTGCATGATGCTACAGTATTTAACTGCTTGGACAGGAGACCACTAGGAGACACATGGAAATCTCCCTGAAAGAAAAGCAGGATATAAGTATAATCTATACAAATACAGCAGTTCCCAAAAGCTACCAAAGTAGGAATTTCTTAGGATATACTGGTATGTAGTAAAGAGTTACCAAGAAGTAAAAGATAGGACTGATGCCAACAGCAAGAGGGAAACAAGCCAAGAGACACTTTGTAATAGAGTTTGAAATAAAATGTATATTTGAATTCATTATGTATAAGCTACATGGTTTGATGCTGTATGATTCACAATAGGGTTCACAATTTTTTTAAATTAAATTAAAAAAAATTGTGAACCATAATAATTTATCTTATGATTGTGATTTTTTTTAGTGTAACATATTGTTTGATACATTTATACATTATGGTTCATCAATTCAACAGTAGGCGAGTTCAAAGCCAGGAAGAATTTAGCCATTTTTATGAAGGTCACATCCAAACAGCCTACAAGGCTTCTTGTTAACCTGCTTTTCCTTATTGTGTCTGGTTCTCCCACGGGCAAATAACTTCTTTTGCTGACTCCTTGGAAGCCCAGTGGCTGTTCTCCTCTTCTTCCTCAGAGTCTATGGGGTAGATTTTGCTCTCCAAAGGGATGTCTACTTTTATCCGGAAGAAGCTGGGGTGCAAAAAGAAAACATCACTCATGGAGGTATCTTCCAGAATGCTTTCTAAGACTACAAAGAGTAGACAAGGTAGAGTTTGGCCTTGCTGTTGGGAAGCCATTGAAATGTAGTCATCTTCAGTACACCAATCTATTAGCTCCCAACTCCTACAGTTAATTTTTTTCTGGGCCAACTTGAAGGGCAATGGCTTGCATTTTGATCCTATAGGTATTATTTATTTTATTTAAAAGATTTCTATGACATCTTTCCACCCAATTCAGGGTTCCCAAGGCAGTGAACATTAAAATAGGAGCACACTTCAAACACTGAAATGCATTTAAAATATAAATGTATATAAAGTATTCAAAAAACAAATAAAACATATAAATACATAGTTGAAAGTCCTCCTGGTGTCAATGTGGCTTTGAAGAGCCAGACTAGCAGGCTGAGAGAACTAAATTCAAATCCCCACTGAGTCATCACACTTGCTAAATGACCTTGGGCCAGCCCAGTCTCATCTACTTTACAAGGTTGTTACGACAAAATAGGGAAGGGAGAACCAGGTATTCCACCCTGAATTCCTCGGAAGAAGGCCAGCATAAAAATGCACAAAATACATTTGGGATTCAGGTATTGGTGACTTTAGCATAAACAAACTGTATATCCTCAGGTGCTTCATCAATATCGAGACTCAGCACTTCTGTAAATCAACAAAAGCAGCAAATGTGCATGGAGCACTGAGGGGCCTGAGTGGAACAAGGTCAGGCAGAGGGTTTGGGCAAGGAGGTTATGGAGCACACATAATTGTGGCTATGACAAAGAGGAAGCAAGCTGTTGTCATCCATTCCTTCTTCCACTCCTTAGGTTAGATCTAACAGTAGATCCCATGGAAGGGGGATGATCTCTGCTGATTCTCATCTTCCACTATAGACCTTTGTGGGGGGGGGGATCCTCTGTGGGGAGATCCTCTGTCCCACAGGACCAGAAATTCAGGGGCATCTCAGGCTGTTCCACTGATTGGAACCCCTTCTATCAGTGGAAATTACCACCAGACCCAAGACTGATGTGCTTCTTTGTATGTTATCTTTCTGTTTCCTTTGCCCAGTGGTAAAATTCAAAGCAGGGACTCCCAGATCTGTAGTAGCCACTGTAATATTCTACCCTGCACATCATTTCCTTTCTTCATGGTTAAGCAAATAATACATACATGTTGTTATATTCCCTTTCGGGAACCCTTCTTTGGTGTCCTGAAAAGCCTTCAGTGCCTGCTTAATATTGCAAAACCCAGCTACTCGGGGACAAACAGCATATGATGATGGAATTCCATCACTGGAATTCCCAGCATGTCTTTTAATTATAAAATCCAGCACAGGAGGAGGGGCTGGTATAGACTGGGTCTGCAATGTGAGTGAGGGGGGACATTAACTCTTCTACCGACACCATTTCCCCACTTGAAGTCTTTTACTTATATGCATGACATTTTAATCCTGACTTCCCTCCAAGGATCTGAGGGCACAAATGTCGTTCCTTCCCCCCATTTGACCCCAAAAGCATTCCTGTGAGGTACATTAGGCTGAGAGAGGGGAGTTAGAACCCAGGTCTCCCCAGTCCTACTCTGACATGCTTACTATTGGTGGTGGAAAGTACCATCAAGTCACAACTGACTTATGGTGGCTTTGTAGGGTTTTGAAGGCAAGAGACATCCAGAGGTGATTTGCCATTGCCTACTTCTGGCTGCGGTCACACGAGCGAGAAAATGCGGGCGGGAAGCAAGGCTGTTTTCCCCGGGCCAAAATTATGCGCATTTGTGCAATCAGACTTCCGCCCGCTCGCCCCGCAGTACCAGATAATAGTAGCCTTTCCCCGGTGGCTTTTTTCCACGCTCCTGCAGCACAACAAGACGCCCTGCCAATGACTCCGGGACGCTGGACAGATGTTTCTGTCTGATCGTGCCCCTTTACTCCGCGGGGGAATCGCACCGTTGCAGCCGCTTTTGGTACGTATGATCGCACCCTCTGGGTAGCAACCCTGCACTTCCCTGGTGGTTTCCCACTCAAGTACTAACCAGGGGTGATATATGCATAGCTTCCGTGTTCTGATGAGATTGGGCTAACCTGGACCATCCGGGTCAGGGCAAGCATAATATAGATACGACTAAAAGCAGCCTGGCTGGGAGGCCATTTTTTCAGGGAACTAATGTGTGGGGAGACAGGGACCATAGTAGCCCTGCACCATAGCCCTACTCCATTCCCCACCACCACCACCACCACAGCTGCTGTTTAAGATCCAAAAGGCATATCTGGAGCTCTAGTTCCTGGTCCCTCACTGGCAGCCTTTCATGCCCCGCCAGGCAGCAAACAGAAAATACCAAAAGCCACTCATTGAAATGATGATTGTGCAGCTAGTGTTCTTCAGTTAGGCAATGCCAGTCTCCCCCCCCCCGCATTGTTCCCCCATCATCATGCATTATAATGACTCTTCTGTAGCATTTATGTGTGTGATCACACTTTAAAAGAATAATGCAAAATATAGGAGTTCTGTTGCAATTATGTGGCATGAGCGCTGTAATAATTCCATCCATCCATCCATCCATCCATCTAGTATAACAGGAACCCAGTAATCTTTCTGTTTCAAGGACATTGACATCAATTAGCAGAATAACTCCCCCCCCCCAATTTAGCTTGTTCATGAATTAGTCTGGAGAAAAATGTCCACATATCTGGGATCTCTGAAATTGTTCATCCTTAGACTGGTTTAGGAAAGCTGTCCTCTTGAGTCTGCAAAAACTAAAAAAAACAGAGGAAAAATCCTTTTTGAAATGACTAACGTCGTCAAAGAACTGTGAACAGCTTCCAATTCCTAACCTCACAGTTCTTTGACGAAGTTAGTCATTTCAAAAAGGATTTTTCCTCTGTTTACAAAAACACTGTAGATCAATATAGAATGTGTTTCTTCATATGAGATGATTATGAAATTCCCTTTAAGCTACAATATATATTATTATTGCAGCCATGACAAACATAATTGTATTTGAACATATTATTCTTATCAAATATGATCATATATATAAATCTGGTTTAGATATATGTTTGTGGTAGGGTGTTTCAGCATCTGTTGTTTTGATTTTGTACCTTGTGATAAGTGCCACCAAGCTGCAGCTGACTAATGGCGACCTTGTACAGTTTTCAAGGCAAGAGACTAGCAGAGCTGACCCTGCTTATCTTCTGAGATCTAATGAGGTCATGCTAGCCTGGGCCATCCAGGTCTAGGTATTTTTTTCCATAGCATTGCCATATTCAATAAGGGACAAGGCACCCAGACCTTTAACAGCTGTTGGTGAGCACATTCTGAATTCCCTCATCTAAGTCATTTTAAACATCACTGGGCCCAAAACTCTGAGGCACTGACTTGTCACCTCCCTCCAGGTTGATGGGAAACCATGAAGTATCACTCTTTGGGTATAATCTACCAACCAGGTCTTAATCCACCTAACAGCAATGGGGCCTAGTCCATATCTCACCAACTTTCCAACAAGAGCATCATGGGGTACCATGTCAAAACTTTAATAAAATCCAAATAGACCACATCCCCAGCAATCCCCTGATCCACCAGACTAGTAATTCCATCAAAGGGCTTTTCCACACATGTGACCTACTCCTGGTTTTGTTGGTAATTGATCCACAAGCATTGGTTTGGTTTGAGCACTGATCTACCGTATGTCTGCCCTCCCGCTGCATTTTCACGCTTGTGGAGTCAGTTTATTTCCACACAAGCTTTAATTAAGGAGGGGTTTCAAGGCAGTGTGCTGTCATCATCAGAGGTGTCACAACACTCCTTTTTTTGGCATATGTTTACGTTGATATGTTGATATTATGTGTGAGGCCCCACTTTCTCGCCCTGGGTAACACTGTGTTTTGCCATCTCGCTCGCCATTTGGAGTGACGTTTCCCAAGCTGGATGTTCTGGGCCCATCACAGCAGGTTTGCCCCTGACCCTGGATATTGGCTGCATTTTTAAAAAAATGCACTAAAATATTGATATATTGATGTAGCATTGTAATGATAGGTTAAGCAGGTTCCCTGAATTCCCAGCTTTCTTTTTTTTTAAAAAAAAGTAATGTTCTACCTCATTCCTTCATGAAGATTTAAGGGAACATACATATTTCTGTAAGGGCTAGAGATTTACTTTTTAAAAATGAAAGCTGGGAATTTTAGTGTCTTTTTAAAAACAGGGATGAAACCACTTGTCTTTAGGGCAGGGGGAAGAAAGGCAGTAGCTTGATGATAATAACAGTCCAATAATTGAAAAGTGGGCTGGAGGTGGGTTGAAAACTGACAGAAACATTACACACAAGGAAAAAGCTGACTCAAATCAGCTTCCAGAAAAAGATCAGGACAAAAGTGGTCTCAAAAGAAAAAAGAAAAAAAAGTAAAAACATTAAAAGAAGCTAAAACTAAAGGCATGTGGAAATCATGGGATAAACCCAAGCAGTATGGGGCCAGAACTGACATTTTAAAAAAAATGTGGAAAAGCCCCCAAAAGAGATCATTCTGGTCTGACATGACTTATTCCTAAGAAAGCCATGCTGAGATTTAACAATCACACTGTGATGTTCACAAACAGACCTCTTACAAACCTTTTCTAAAATCTTTCCTGGAATCAATATCAAACTAACTGTCCAACAATGTTCTGGATCATCTCTTTTCCCTTTCTTAACAATAGGTACAACTCCCCCCTCAGTCCCCCAGTATCTCCCTCATCCTCCAAATATTTCAAAGATTAAAGAAATAAGTTTTCACAATATGGTGATGCATTCATGGGGAAAGAGGCACCTTCTGAATTTTTTCCTGCTACATGACAACAGGTGCCTTGTCTGAGAATTAGTTAGTTTTCAAGACTGAAGCCAAGACAGAGACCATCTTGCAGGAATCTTCTAGTATGTTCCAGCTGAAGTTACACAGTTCCCTACATTAACTCCATTGTTCTACACTGTTCTTTGATTTACTGCAGGTGT